TATAGAAAATTTATAATAAAAGCGGGGCTCGAGGGGGCGGCAGCCCACTTCCATTCATTTAATTGATAAATTTGAACTGAAAGTTTAAAAAAAACATTGCAGGTGATTTTGCATTTTGGCTGTTTTCAAGGTTTTATTTTTTACTCTCAAGCTTTTTCTCTATAGCGCCAGCTAGTAATACCTCAGCCTTAGTGACACGTCACATCCTAGTAGTAATAATCAGAGTTGGCGGCAATCGAGGTCTGATGCCCTGCCCCCCTCCCTCCCTACCCGGCCGTGCCGGGCCGACCGGCGCGGCGGCGCGGCGCGGTGAGCTAGTCTTGTCTCAACACGTTTGTCGAAGTCCGACCCTCCTGGCTGCCCTAGCTGAGACGAGAGAACTGTGTGAATCTGCGTGCCCGAAGTCCTTGTGTAGTGAAATTTGAAAGGCTCGTCTTGCCGGCGACGCACAAGGAAAGTTGTTTTTTTATGTGACAGAGGTTTCTAGAGGCGGTAAGTGAACGTTAGGTGAGGTGGACGACTAACCTCCAAGTTTGCGTGTTGTCGGCCGTTATTTAGCTTAAATTTCCTACTGTTCAAACTGTGTTTGCGTATTCAATGAGGGCCTTATTCGATCGTCAATATTTTGCTATCGTCTTGTGACCGTTAGATTCGAGTGGCACATTTTGAAACCTAAATTCGAGTCCAATTTCCAACAAGTGCATTTCTGGGGATTATTTATTATGCTGTATGCCAATGTCTACCTGCATTTTGACTGACTCTTTTTTTTTTTCTTTTTTTGTGCAGGTCGTGTTTTGTGAAATGGAGACCTCACAGCTGCATTATTGCTGTCGTGAACCAATTTCGATTGACCTAGTGAGAGTCAGTAAACATCAACAGAACACTGAGTTTGGGAAGATATGGTGTCTCGCAAATGTTCTGATGAGGGTGAGTAAATTCAAGGGATGTAGAAGTGGTAATTTTTTAAAGTGTGCCTTGGATCTCTATCGTATTTGTTCTTTTAAGGTTAAAGAGTGCTGCACGCTACTGTCCGTCTTTAACGTATTGGACTTTACTGAGTGGCGAAACTACCCCGACGTGAAGGAGTGTCTACAAAATTGACAGGTTGGTTGCCTCTTGTATTATTTTAACCTCCATTATTTTCTACATTTCCTTTAGAATGTGTGATTTCTGATTTGCTATTGTTTTTTTTATTTTTCAGGGCTTACAAATGACAGTGTTTATCTTCCTACTTTATTGTTTCAAAACGTCCATGGAGACGATGTGGTAGTTCTTTGGGGCAAGTGACTGTGAAAGGTTGAGTCTTAACTTCTTTATGATCTTTTTTTTTATATCTGTTTTGCAAAGTGAATGCTAATACATGCTTTTGTGTTGTTTATTTTTTTCAGTAGCTGTGCCATGTTGTGAAGATGAACCAGTTCTCAACTCTCAGTGGTGTGAGAAACTTTCTTTTATTCCACTTACCTGGATTGAGGACAATCTCGGAGAGTATCTTTTTAATGTGACGAAGGAGTGGCAGACTGAAAGGTGAGTTTGTGGTAGTCCTTCATATTTCCCATCTTTGTAATATTGTTGCGTTGTGTCACTTGCAAAGCAGCTAAAAAGATGGACCTCGTATTAGTCAGACAAAATGGTTTCATATGGGTTTGACCCAGAATAAGAAAATAGCCACTTAACTGTTCTTTGTTTCTTTTCAGGCGTCAGCTTTTGTCTTTCATAGTCTTCACAACTGTGACTCGCTGTCTGTTTGTGGTTTTTAATTACCGCCACTTGATGTGAGATGTTTCTTCAGGGGCAAAGATAATCGCAGAGGTAAGTTATTATCCCCTCCCCCGTTTCTTCTCTTTATTTTAGCCATGACATTGGCTTGGGAGAGCATATGCACTTCTTTCTTTCCAAAGTTTAAATTGTAAAGTTACCATCAAAGCAATGTGAAGGGGAGTGGTATAACATTTGCGTGTAGAGTTTTGATTGTTCTACAGTAAATGTATGCAATAAGGTTGATATTTTTTCATCAGTCAACCATACACAAACATTTGTATAGAAAGGAAACAGAGTACAATTTTAGTCTTAATGTTCTGTCACCATTAAGAATAGTTACTCAAATTTGTGCATCTTTACATAAGTGTTAGTATCGAGTGGTTTGAAATGTTGACGCCTCAATTATGTATTAGTTCTGAGAATGAGAACAGTCAGTCAGTGGGTTTAGTTTATAAACAGTCATAGTATTGTCGCTATTTTCTTTGCTTTTGAAAGTGTGCTGTTTCAGTTGGTTGTTTCTGATATGCGAATAGTTTGTTGGTGCAGAAGAGGGGCCTGTACCTTTTGTTTGATAAATGTTGCATTTGGGAGCTGATATGATGTGTTTCAAAACATTGTTGTCTGTGGCAATTTTTTCCCTGGCTGCAGTTGTCAATGATCAATGTTTACAATGTTAAAGACAAAGAATGTTGTTATTTTTTCCAACAGTTAACCATTTCATTTTTTCTTATTCTTTCAGTTTCTTTGAAAGGAGGGTGAGGGCGGCTGAGGTTGGACTAGCCAACCTCAGTCGTGGCAAGCCTCCTCGTGGCCCTCTTGCCTGGGGAGAGAGCAGGTCGGACAAATCTCGCATGCTATCTTTTGCTTGCCTGTGTGCTGTGCCTTGCCTCAAGCTAATATGCTCAAACGCGACTGTCGTTAGGCTTGCTTTGCTTTATATTACCTCTGTCGCTATGCACTGCCTAATCCCTTTCTAATTCTTCTCACCTACCTTCGCTTTGCATGGTGGTGTGGCTCATATTTCCCGCTTCTTAGGACTTAGGTCTTCCTATGCCACCAGCCAACGCGGTGCCAATCAACGGACAACCAGAGCCAGCAAGAGTAAGGGGTAATGGAGATTATAATCTCGATTACTTAGGCACGAGCCCCCTACACCCCGCAGGGGGGTTTCGAGCACTGGCTGTCAGCGTGGCGTCCGAGTGGTCCCCCCTATTTGGGCGTCTTCCGTGGCTCTGATGTCGTTTGGACCTTGATTTGACATTCTGAGTCAGATCGGTGTCACGATGGCATCGGGGGAAGTCATGGGGGACGTTGGGGTGGGGGACCGTTTTGGTGTCGTGCTGGCGGTCGGTGTTCGAACTCTTCCCTGGGAGGTGGTGCCGGGCCAGGCGCTACCCTGGAGGGTGGCGCCCCGGAGGATGGGACGGGATGAAGCTCGCCGCCAACGTACCCGCGACTCAAGACCTGCCCAACGCGACCGGCGCTCCCAGCAACCACGGTGCCAGTCCCCGGTCAACCAGGGTCTGGAAGATACGCGAAGCGACCCTGGTGCCGGACCAGGCGCCGCCTCGGCGCGGGTGGCGCCAGGGAGGATGGGATGGGGTGAAGATGACCGTGACCGTGATCAGCCTAGAGCTCAGAAGACTCATCATGACTGCGGCCCACGCCCCCAGGAGGACTCCCTGGCGACGGGGGCTGGACCCCGGGAGCTGGGTGGTGGGCTGATGCAACCACCAGGTTCCCGCAGTACCCGCCCCTGTCTCCTGGGGCCCGGCACTTTGTCGCTACGTGGGGACTTCCTGGGGGAAGGGTCGCCTGGTCGGACCACGCGACCTCTGTCGACGGGGCCGCCCAGGCCGCCTCACCACCCTTTGCGCTGAGCTCCCGACTGCTCTCCATGGGCCCAGGCCCAGCTGTGTGATCAGGCTCACATCGCCGTGGTCGTGCTGGCCCTATCCTGTCTGTACCACTCGGACTCGACGCCCGCGGACACCCTCTGTGCATGGCTCTTGCCTTACTAGATCTCGCTTAATATTTCTCTTTGTATGCGCCCTTG